AGTATGGAGCTAAATCCATAAATGATCCAAGTGACTGCTCAGAACTCCAGAGATGTTGGTCTTTGGTTGAAAAAGCAGGGGTTTCCTGGCAGGTTGCTTTCTAACAGGTTGCAAAACAGAAGCTTTGTTGTTTTGGTTGTGCAGTGGACACTAGTATGGTGCTCAAGTGCCATGGTATAGTGACTTGTTGATTTTCTTCTTCCTTCATGAAGCATCATTGCAGAAAATGTGGGCAGGCAGTGTGTGGCAAGTGCAGCACCAAACGGTCGAGCTACCCAATCATGGGATTTGAGTTCCAGGTCCGTGTCTGTGATTCCTGTTATGAGTCCATCAAGGATGAAGAGTGAGTATGAGGGAGTAATAAACTGTAATAACACTGCAGGTGTGCAGAAACCCTTGGCCTTGCTCCACATCCACACACAGTGCTACACTGAGCTGACTCTCTGCTATTAGGCCTTGGGGACTAAAAGCACTGTGATGGCAGAAATGCCCCATCTGCCTCTGCAAGTGCATTTGGATCAGATGTGGAATTACAACATTTATATCCTTTTTTAGTTCTTCTTTTCCAGGAGCCCAGATCTAGACTTGAGATATATTTGTCTCAGCATTTCAGTTTAGTTAAAAGCTATTGATTGCACTTAACATTGCTAAGTGGGTGCCAGGCAATGCATTTCAGCTGCCAGGATGTATATGCATTAGTTCATGTACACTTTTTAAAACTTTGGGAATATTCTTCAGAACTCAACATTATTTTCACCATGCAAGCAACTCAGGTTAAACATAATTTGGTGTCTTATTAAACCTGTCTTAGAAATGAAGGAACCCCTTTTCTTTTGGTATGAACAGAGTAATCAGATGTGAAAATTTTGGGAGTGTTTGGGGTTTTTTTTCTTGTGTTACTGGGTTTTTTATTAATGGGACATTTTGTTTGCTTGGGGTTGGGTTTTTTGGAAAAGTGGGATGCTGTGCTCTAGTTGGCTTCCGTAGCCAGCAGGGGAAAAATGAACTTGACTTTGTTAACCAGGAGTAGAAGTATTTATTAATTCAGTGTCCCACTTCTGCTCTAGTATTAACAGTCATGCTGCAGAAAATGTCACACCTGGACAACTCCACAAGCAGTGGAGTTGTATGACTTGCTAATTTAATTCTGTCCCCTTTAATATGGCACTGCAGCTCTTGGAGTAGATTTATTAGTACTTAAGCAACCTAATTTTCTTTTAAGTTTATTTTGCACTGCTCTAATGATGCCATGAAGCTTCATCTGATGGCTGGCTTTCATTTCAATTGTTCTTGTGCAGCCGTACCTCCCTGGCAACCTTTCATGAAGGCAAACACAACATTTCACACATGTCCATGGACATCTCCAGAGGGCTAATGGTGACTTGTGGGAGCGACCGGATTGTGAAGGTATTGCTGCAACTCTTTCCTGCATTTCTAGGAGATATTTAAGAGAGTTCATTTTTGTGTATTCTTCCTTTCTTTCTGTCAACTATTGCTGCAAGTTATCTATTGTGTGAAGAAGGAATTGTATTTGCTAACCTGTTCTTCTGCAGCTGAATGAGGAAATGCCTTGTAACTCCACTATATGGAGTGCAGCTGTTGTGTCTCTAAGCAAACATAGCAGGCATGGGCAGCAGGAGAATCTGCCAGCAGCCCCAAAGACACAGCCCTGAGGAAATGTGCAGGTTCCTTTGCTCTGAGCTCATGGCTTGGAGCATGGCCACTGAAAGCCCTTGTTATGGGACAGTGACATGGAGCTCAGACTGATACAGAGTCTTGCTGTGCCTGGGCTCTACATTCACCATGCTTGTCAGAACTGAGACTGTGCCATCCTGTTCTTGTTTGGCTCTAGGCATGTTTGTGACAAACTGCATAGCACTGTTAAAACAGACCTACACAGAAGTTCAAGACTCTTGAGCCCCAAATTTGGCTTTTGGTTTATAAGGCTGCTGTAACTCTTTATGAGATTTTCCTCAAGCATAGGTTAAAAAGGAGTTGTTACCTTGTGTCCAGGGATATCTTTGTTTGCTTCTATGCCTCTTGCAGAAGGAGCTGTGAGTCTGACACTAATGCTGTGTAATTCTCCACAATTCTCCTCCAGATCTGGGACATGACTCCAGTAGTTGGTTGCAGCCTTGCCACCGGGTTCTCTTCCCGCTGATCTCCTCCGTGGCAGGTTTATGCACCTTATGTACAGCAATACGCACCGAATGAATGGAACTCTCCTCAAGAATATTACTGCAAACACTGGTTGCTTGATTCTCCTCCTGCTGCTGTTCCAGGATGGACAGTCACCCTTGTAGAGCACAGCTTTTCTGTTGGGCTCCCCGGGCATCTCCGTGGTGCTGAAGCGCGGTTCCGCAGCCTCTCGGACTGACACAAATCTGCAATATGACACCTGGGTGGAAGGACCTGTTGTCTCTCAGTTTACATATGTAGTGTTAACAATGTGCTATCTCTGCTGATATATCTTGTACAGATACCTTGTAGCTAAAACATTACCAGAGTAAAATGAGTGTAGTAAATTCAATTTGTGCAAATAGTAAAATAACTTATTCTCTCGTCCAAAAAGCAGTTCTGTTGAAATGTTTTTGAGCAGTCACTGTCTAAATTGCCTCCAAAAGATATCTTGGTTATTCCTATGGAAGGAGGAGATAGTTTCAAGTGGAAGGTAACTTCTTTCAGATGAGATAGTAAGAAAACCTTTGATCACACAAGATCTTTTATTGGCTTTCTTGTAGTGTTTGTCTTCAAGTTCAATTGTTAGTGAAATCACTTTTGTGGAACAGCTGTTCTGTGTAGGTAGCTGGTGAGTCTGCAAACAATCCTGGGCTTTTTATGTAGTGTTTTAGCATAGCTGATAAACTTCTGTAGTTATGAAAAACGTGCAGCCCACCTACTCTAAAGACTGGCCACAGGTATGAGCCATGTACTCTGACAACTGTAGTGTTGTTAGAATGGAAACCTAAACAAATCTGCCTTGTTACAAGGAACAGTTAAGAAAAAATGGCCAGCTAAATTTTAGAGATTTTCTGTGGAAAGGCTGATGTTCTTTAATGTTAGGGAACCTGTCTCTGCTAAAGTACAGCATAAATTCAAATACTGTCTTGATGTTGCTTCCAACAGATAAATACTGAGCAATAATTACTGAGGTACAGAACAGCTGCTTTTTTCCCTGCACCTAGGAGTGTTAATCCTGAGATACCTATATTGATCATTTCCTGTTTCAAAGCTGAGAAGTATGAAGAATAGCTGTGAGGCTTTTATGACTGTGCAGTTGGCACATAAAGGAAATAACTGGTGAGAGATACTGTCAGTAAACTGGTTTGTCAGTTGAGTGAATCTCCTATATTTGAATACTGTAAAGAAGAATTTATTTTGTAACTTCGGAAGTTAAGGTGATATGTCACAGAGTTTAAGCTTGGAGGTGTTAAGATTTATCTGAAAACAAATGCAGTATGTGTTAGGACAAAAAAAGGTAGGTCAGCTGGCCTGGAATAGGTGGTGTTACACAATTATCAAAGGTAATGTGCTCTTTCTGGCAGAAGAGTTGAGGGTTAGACTGTCTTTACTTACAGCAACAATCAAGTGGTGCTATGAGTGTTAGTGAATTCAAGTCCTAGGTGTGTAACTTGACACTAATAATCTGCATTGGACCATGCTGTAGGCTGAAATAGATGAAGATCATTAATACATGGTGATTCACTTGCATTTTAAGCCAAAAATCTGATAGTCTCCAAAGGGCATTAGAATCCAGAATATGATAGTTACTGTTACTTTGTCTGCTTTTCCATGGGCCTGCTCTGGAAGTTTTGTGAAGAGTTTTTATTTCCTGGCCTTATTGGGCCACTGAAGAATAAACAAAACCATCTTTTGTGGGGATCCCAAAACTTGTCTTGCCTTCAGTCCAGGATTTAGCACTTGTCACACGCATTTGATTCAACTCTGCCTACATGCTGTATAGCTTAGGTTTTTTGGGAAGGCTTATTTCTAAGATGTTGAGAGAAAGAACAGTTGCAGCTTTATGCTCTGAAGGCATTCACCCCTCTAAACCAGGAAGGAAAGTGTTGTGGGGTGAATAAACTCTGGGAAGTCTCTGCATTCACTTTCAGGTCCTGTCTGGTTCTGGAAGAGAATAGAAGCCTTCTCCCTCACAGCTTGTAAGGCAGAACATGAATTACAGTGCTAGAATTGTTTAATATCCCACTGTAATAGGTTAGGAGGATCTAGGGTGTGAGTTAAGGTGGGAGATTGATGTAGATGTGCAATGAGTACCATATTTTTTAACCCAGACATTCTGAAACCTATACCCACGATGCTGAGGTGTGACTCCTTTGCAGCTAGCACTCCAGGACTCAACTCTTTTAGTTCTGATTACTCAATGTGCCCCTGCTTAACACACTCCCTTCCCTGTGAATACTTCCTGTTTCTTTACATTATGTTTTTGCCACTAGATAATATATTCTCTACTGCCTAAGGAATCTATTTTCTATAATTGATATACTTAAAGATTGTGTCAGTTCAGATATAATGACAGTTATGGCCACTAAATCTTTAGTCTTTTAAATATACTCGTGGTGTTGAATGAGTAATGCTCACAAACCACTAAAGAGAGACTAGTTTTGTTTATAAACAGCTATTTGGAAGGCACTCATTCTCTCATCAAACTGAACATACTTGGCTATGTCAGCTCAAGTGTGCAGTTACTGAGAAGCCTTGATTTGAAGCATTACAGATCTCTCTTGTGTAACCTCTTCCATTGGGGCAGGGAAGGGGAGCAAAGGGTACTAATATGTGTTAATTCTTTCCCAGTTGTATTTCTGTACCCTACATAGTTAAGAGAATCTAGATAAAACTGTCCTTTGCTCCTCCTTGTCTGTTTTTTAAATTTTGATTACATGTACAATAAAATATTTCTTGATATTCACTTAGTCTATTTGGATGATCCATCTTTTTTTCCATCCTATGAAAGCATGATGTGCATTTTGTGCTGTGGCTCTTCCTTTACAATGTGCCCCATGTACAAATTGTAGAGAGAGCTACAATTCTGGGTTCTGGGAGAGCTTGTTGGTTGTGTTGTATTGGAACTGAGTGAGCTGCAGCAGGTCAAAGGCCCACAATGAACCAGTGAGCTGAGACATGAGCAACTGCTGTGTGATCCCAGTTGGGGATGTGTAACCCTGTCCTGTGTTCTGCTTGCCAGCTCATACAGACATCATCTCTGCTTCATCTGGCTGCCCTTCAGAGCTCTGCAAAGGCTCTTACCTGCAGAGTACCACAGGATCCTTTCCTGAGATGCCTTGGACCTGTCTGAGGTGCCAAGGAAATGCTGATTTTGCTGGATGGAGTGAGCACAGCCCACAGTGTAATATATACACAGGACACAAACTGCAGCCACACAAGGTGATTGCACTTGTTTCAGGATACTTTCTCACAGGGAAAGGATGGAGATACACTGGAAAACATCCTTATCCCTCACAGCTGCTCACAGGCTCAAATTCAGCACTGGCTAGCTGTGTAACACTAGGAGTGTCTGAATGTTGGTTGATCAGTATGTTGTGTGGCTCACTGCTTCCTTGGGGTATTTGGGAGCCAGAGAGGGAATCTGGAAGGGTTTGACAAATTTGCCACCTTTGAATGAGGACTGAAGAGCTTGTGTGATATATAATAATTTTGTAGAGTTGTTTGGTTTTTTTTTAATATGGTATGTCTCATTTTGAACTGCTTAAACTTCTCACATTTCCAGTGAAAACTGACTGGAAAAAATGAAGCTGTTGCTGATTTATAGTCAGAAAAGCCTGTTTAGATGTCTATGTAGATAATCTTATGTTTTGAATAAGGCATATAAACTTTAGTTAAAGTTGAAGATGCTGGAAAATTGCAAATGGTGTACTTGTAGTCAAAGCACAAAAATAGATGTATTGGTTTTCTAACTGAGAATGCACAGTTGATCACTTCTCAAATTCCTGATATTGAAAACTTCATTTAAGTTTCAGATAGCTGTGCCAGGTCTTAGTACCTGTAGTGTTGACTTTACTCATTGAGGAGATTTAGAATACATCAGATGCAGGAAAAGGGCAGATTTTAATGTTGATAAGATTTACTACTACAGTCAGAAGGAAAGCTGTCTAAGGTTTTTTATCTCTGTTGACCAAGTCCTCAGTGATGAATAACCTAACTGTGAAATGCCATGATCAAATGCTACAGAAAATGATGAATTTCTGCCAGCCTAACATTTAAAAGCTGATTTTGTCATCAATGAACCATCTTACAGGAAGTTTCAATGTGGCCTCTCATTCACAAAAGGCAAGGATCAAGGATTTCTTAAGTGACTGCTATCAAGTGATCCTATAAAGCTTTTTGTCCCTTTGGAAGATGTAAGGCCATGGGCTCTATGCAGCTGTGTAGTCTGCTCAACTTTTAATATGCAAAAGCTAATTGCTGAACAGATTCAAAGACAGCATTACTTGTTTTATCACTCTGGCAATGGAAGTATCAAAATAATACCAGTAATAAAATCTGTACAATTTTTTTCATAAAATTAAATATCAAATCATGAAGTGAAATATGTGGGGTCATTAGAAATTTTTCTTTCTGCTTCTATGCATGACTCTTTTCCCCCCAACATATCAGCAGCTCTGATACCTGCTGTAGCTACCTGCTGTCTGACTCACATTTGTACTCAGGGTCTCTGACAAGTTTTAGTTCATAATCTGGCCACACAAAGAAGTAGAAGCATATTCTTTGACTTACTGTTGATGTATTATTTTAATTTTGGTGGGACTGACTGGTTTGTCTGCAGAAAATTTGGTACATTCATTCCTAAATTGCTTTGTATCACAAAGATGATATGGGTTGTGGAGGTATATGTTTTTCTCCTCTTTACCTTGTTTATAGAGAAATGCACATTAGGGTTTAAATTGCTCCTGGCTTTGCTACTCTAGCTGTCTTTCAAGTAAAGATTCTATGCCTTGCAGTATCTATACTGAGTCTTCTTTCTGAAGCCTGTTTTCAGCTGCTCTCAAAATCTACACGTGTATATCTGTCAAAACTCTGAGTTTTCATGAGCTCAAGTGCACCTGTGCAGCTGATCAGGAGTGGGCACTGCTTGCCTGTACTCCTTGATGGCATTGCTGCTGAGCCATGGCTGGCTGGCAGTTCTGGTGCTGTCCTTGGTCTTTTCTCTGTTCTCATTCATTTCTCTTTCTTTCTTCCTTAGTATACGGCTCCTTCTCCAGGTTTCCTCCACAGCAGCACATCCATGTTGGAGTTTGCCTTCCTGAGACAGGTGACAGCAGCTCTTGAAGCACAACTGCCCTGCTCACCAGAGCCTCCTGATCTCTCTAGCAGTGCTTGAATGCAGGATGGCTGGGGCAGCAGACGTGGAAGGTGAGTGTGGTTTAGAAACCAACCCACTTCCTCATTCTCAGTTACAACACTCCATCCCATTAGGCACCCACAGCACTGCAGCCATAACTTGGTGACTGGCAGGAAGGTGTGGAACAGAACTGTCAATAGTCAGAGTTTGGAGAATGTCAGGGTGATTTCTGCAAGGGTAGAGAATTGTACGTGTCTAAATGGTATTTGTGGGACACTCAATTTAAAACTTGAACTCACAGGCATTAACTGAAAGAGACAAACAAGGCTGTAAATTGTGTTCATTACAGTCCTTTTATGGAGAAGAAATGCTGGGAATATCAGCATGCTCCCAGGCAATGAGAGGTGCTTTAGTCCTACTCCAAATCAGTGGTTCCCTGTTTATGGTATGAATACACTTACTGAGCACTCTGTTGTTTCAGGAGCATGGGAGTCTGAATGGGTTTTGATTTTAAAACCAGTGTAGAAAGAGGAAAACCATGAAAGAAACTGAGTGAAGGTGTACAGGACAAAGAACTGACTGGCAGTGTGGTTAAGGCATGCAGAGCTGTGATGTGGGGAGATAAGGAAGGGTGCTCTGGTTGGAATAGCTGTTAATCCAGCTGAACACAAGAGGGCTACAGGAACAGGTTTTCTCTGGATTGAAAAAGTTCTTGATGGAGCTTTGGTAATGCCTGTCTACCTTTGGCCTGCTTTTAATTTTATACAGCTGGGAAATGAAATAAAATGCTACTTGACACCCTTTAAGTGCTTGTGTACACCTGTCACTTCAGGCTACAATTATTTGGATTGCTATTTTTAACACTTTTCTAATACTTTATAAATGTTGGGACTACTTACTGAACATGTTGTTGCTGATAAGGTACCAACATCTATGGCACAGGTACATTATTTGGTATGTGCTCTAGTGATATGAATACTTTGTTCTGCACTTAAATTGTGGAGAATCCAGATTTTGAGAGCAAATAAGGAAAAAGGAACATAGGAAAAGCAGTCTGGAAAAGTACAAGCCCTGCCTAGTAACCAAGTGCAAGTGTTAGGTTGCTTCTCTATTGATCCAAAGTGCAATTAAAAACTACCTCCTGTAGCTGAATTTAAATTGGGCTTTTAAAGTTTTTGTCTTTCCCCCACAGACCTAGTATCAAGTGGTTAAAAACCTGCACAGCAGGTCTCCTATAAAATCACCAAGTGGAGTGTTCATCAGCCTCAACTCCTTGGTTTTCACAGGGCAACTAACCTGAAGGAGTCTGTGAGCTCAGTTCACAAAAACAACACCAAAGCATCTGCTGGCTAGAGTCAGAATAAATGTTCAGTGCTCTGTCTCATTTATTGTGGTACTCAGTGTCAGTGGAAAGGCTTCTTCCTGCAATAAAAGGGTGGTTTGGGTATTTTTCAGAAGGAAAGCTTGAGCAGTTTTGTTAGAAGGAGAACGTTAGATTTTGTTCATTCCCTACCGTTCTTGAGACAGTAGTTTGTGTCTCCTATTTGAAGCTGACAGGATTTGTTCCTCTTCAAATGCACAGGAAAATGACTTCCCAATTAATTGTAAATCACTGCTGAATATATGGCTTTACTTATATGGTTCAGTATTAGCTTCTGAAGTGCACCAAGCTTGCAGAGATTAGGAGGACCCATGACAAAGCCTGTTGCAGATTTAGGCATCTGACATTTCAGCAATGACTTCTTTCACATAAATAATGCCCAAAGCCACCAAAACTGCTACTTAGGAGCTAGGAAAGTTTTTCATCAGGTGTAGGCGCTCAAGGCTCACTGAATCCACTGTAACTCTTGGAATGAATGTTTTCTACTTCTGAATATGACAGGCTGCTAGGAGAGTGGAATATAAGCAAAGAGGATAAAATATGCCACAGCAGTAAAAAGCTCCTTGCCTCTCTTAAAAGCCTGTTTCAAAGAACCTTTAAGAAAGAAAATGTTTATACTCCTTCCATGCAGAAAAGAAAGCCAAAAAAAGAAGGGTCTCAAAACTGCTTTTTGCAGCAGTTTTGAGTTGGAGAAATAAATATGCATTACTTTGCAAACATTCATGTTGAAGTTAACTAACTGAGCTTAAGGGAAGCAGTGGAAGGAGTTCATGTTGTGGCATTTAACTGACATAAGTTCACCCCATTGGTTCACCTGGCACAACTGTGTGCCCCAGCTGCCTCCCCCTGCTGAGTGACACTAACAGCTCAAACTTCCCAGCTAGGAACTACTGATGGTTATCTTCTTTATCAGGAAATTATGCAGCTACACAGTGCTAGTGGCAGAGAGGCAGGGAGGGGAGAATTCCAAATCCTTACCATGGCTAGTTAGGCAGTCATTAAGTGCAGCCTGGCTTTCTGAGCTGGAAAGCATCTAATTTAGGCATGATCCTGTATCTGCAGGCTTGTTTCTGTAGGGCTTCTTTCTGCCAGCTTCCAAGATTGGCCATAATGGGCTGACTTTGGCCACTGCTCTTAATGTTCACTCTATGCATGTTGTGTTTGCTGCTGCTGCCACTTTTTTCTGATTACTTGCAAAACACACAAGCAGCAGGCTGGTTCTCTTGAGTTTATGGCCTAATTAGGTAAGATCTTTGCATAGAAAAGTAAAATTACTGGGGAACAGTTGTTAAGCAAAAAAAAATTATTATTGTCCATCACCTGAGTAAATTAGACAGGTGAGAAGTATGTTCATCCCTTAATTTTAAATTCCCTTTGGAGATGCAAGTATTGATGCCTCACATCTGCAGTACAGCTGCACTGTGGTGTCCACATTCTTGTGTGTTAGGCAAATCCAGTTCTGAGTTCTCTGGCTTTCCCAGAGCTGCAGTGCTGTCTGTGAACACTCCCTGTTCACCAAAGCAGTGTTTGGGCTTTGAGTGCAGAGTCAGCCCTCTGTTGTCCTGCACAGGCCACAGCAGGCAGAGCTGGGGGTGCAAGGGACAGGAGTATGAACATGGTAATGGGGAAAGTAGACATTTATCTCCTGGGAGAGGCAGTGTGGCTACTGTGGCACTTTGTGTGGGTCCTTCAGAGAATGTGGTAAAAGGTTTTGGTCTGCTTTAAGAGACTCTGATTGTACTAAGTTTGTCTTTGGCAGGCTCACTGAAGGCAAGGTGGTGCCCCAGTAAAACCAGTGAGGCCAGCGCTGTCTGGCAGCACAGCACAGTGTGTGCTGCACCCCACAGCAAGGAAGGGTGAGATGTTCCTGCCCTCTGCAGATAGTGCTGCTTTATGGGCCCGGGATGTGTACTTGGGAAGGGCAGGGACAAGTGAGCAGGTGTATCTCTGAGATCTGTGGGGCAGCTGGGCCAGTGAAGTATCCCTGAGTGTGGCACACTTCAGAAGTGAAAGCAGAGCACTGGGCAGCCAGCAGCATCATGGCACAGCCTGCCATGTGCTGCCTGGTGGGCTGGGGCTGGAACATGCACAAACCAGAGCCCAGCAAGCAGCACTGAAGGACTCCAGGAACAGTGGCATAGATCAAACCAAAACTAAGGGGAGGGCTAAGGGGAGTAGGGTCATGCACAGTTAGAGAGATGTGGAATTTACCTCCATGCTGTTGAATGAACATAAGGAGCACACACCTGCATTTGCACTCTGTTCTTGCAAATTTGCATTTCCAGCTGGGAGCAGATTTCAACCCAACTGTAGAATTACTTTTGGCCAGGGATCTCTCTCCCTTCTCTGAATTCAGAGGCTGCAGAGGGGTTGTCACTGACACCACAGGGATCCCTGAAGTCCCCAAATCCCTTTGGATTTCTTTGCCTTTCTCACTGATGGCTCACGGGCACCTCTGCACACAGGAGCAGGGCACAGCTCTTCCCTGCCTGAGCAGTTGGGATCCTTATCCTGAACTGATACATGCTGTGCTCTGGAGATGCCTCTCCTTTAGACTACAGACATGGGATTTAAGCCTGCTAAGTGTTCTCACTTTATGCCCCTGTGGTATAGTTTGCATCTGGATCAGACTCCTGGTACAAATCTGAGAACCCTTAGGCCTGGATTTAGAGCTTTTGATTCAAGTGCTGAGTCTGTGGATGTTACACATTCTTTTGGCACCAGCTGCTTATCAGCAAATCCCTGCCACAGGTTAGGGGATTTGCTGATGCCTTGCCCTCTCATGCAGCTGCATCACAAAGCACCGCTGAGCCAAGCCCATCCGCTGAAAGTATTTAAACTATCACAGTTCCATTTTGATGGAGATGGGCAGCAGAGCAACCATGCCTGTAGATCTACCCGTGTCTTTAGGGCATGAATGCTTGACAGGGGAGTAGCTGGAGCCAGTGAAAACATGAACTGTTTTATTGGTGTCTGGAATGCCGAGGTGGGAAAGGCGCCCTTTGAGCGGCTCACGCTCGCACGGGGCAGCAGGTGCGGTCACCCCGTGCGGGGGCCCGGCACACGCGGCCTGCCCGCACCCTCACAGCCGGGCCGTGCCTCTGTGGGGCCGTGCCTGCCTGCCCTGCCCGGCCCCAGCCCGTGCCCCGCGGCGCTGCCCGGAGCGGCGGGAGGAGCGCCGGCAGTTCCCTTTCGGGGCATTGTGGGAAGGGAAGGCGATGCGGCCCGGCCTCACCTGAGCGGGGCGGGCGGGACGGAGGCGGCCGGGCCGGGCTGGGCCGGCTCCCAGCCAGCCGCCGCACCATGGTGAGTGAGCGGGGCCGAGCGGAGCGGGGCCGGGCCGGGCAGGAGCAGCCGCCCGTGCCCCGCCGGGGCCGCCGAGCCCCTCGACGGGCGCGTTGTCAGGGCGCGGAGCGAGGCCGGGCGGAGCGGGGCTGCCCTCGGCAGCGGCACGCTGAAAGCCATTCCCAGGTGGGCTCGGACCAGGTTTGCACCTGTTCGGGGCAATGAAAGTTCTCTTCTTTTCCGCTTTGTTTTCCGACCCTCGGGATGAGCCCGGGTCACGCCGAGAGCCTTTCTCAGACAATCAGGAAAACAAGGCTGTTACAGAGAAGCTTTATTTATAAAGTCTTGCTGTAACTCGAGGAGCTGAGGTGCAGGTCGGCTCCAGTGCCTGCAGAAGGATCGAGT